GAAAGCTCACGGAACCATTAACCTGTTAATTCAGAGCCCTCCTGACCCATTACCTCCTAGAGGAGCTCCCTGGCCCCACCTCTTGATACCTCAACATGAGTTTTGGTGAGATGTTCAAGCCACAGCAGAGGGCATGCTGGGAGGAGAGGCCAAGGACACAGAAGAGGGGTGGCTGCAGACACCATATGGGGTGTGGCCAGTGGATGTGGATGAAGTCACTCCAGGGTGAGGCCTTTCCTGGGTGACTTAGGTCAGGGCGGGGCTGGAGGCCAGTGTGAAGCTATGACACTCACTTGCCCAGTCAGAGAGAAGACTATATGTGAGCAGGGAAAACAGAGGAAGGGGCTGTGGAGGGGGTGGGCTCCCCTGGGAAAGGGGCCCCTTTGCCCCTGAAAGAAATGTTGAAGATTTTCATTCAGTCCCCTTATTTTCCAAGTGAGGCCTCAAGCCCAGAGAGGCTGAGAATTTTCCCTCAGACTGCCGGGCGCTGGAGGCTCAGGCCTATAATCCTAGCTATGTGGGAGGCTGAGAGCAGGGGGATCACGGTTTGAGGCCAGACTGAGCAAATAGTTGTGAGACCCCCATCTCCAGAATAACCAGAGTAAAATGGACTGGATGTGTGGCTCAAGCAGTAGAGCTCCTGCTTTGCAAGCTCAAAGTCTTGAGTTCAAACCCCAGTCCCAGAAAAAAAAAAATTATCCCAGATCACCATGCAGGGGGAGCAGACACTGGATCAAGACAAGAGTCCAGTCATCTTTTTCCCATTCCGAAGGTTTGGTTATCATCTTTCTGTGGGTGAAGAAATGAACAGTCCTGAGTTTGTGCTAGGATTACATGAGCACCTCATGGTGTTGTATCTTGGAATTCTCACTAAGACCCCAGGGGTGATGTTCCTATTTTACAGATGAGAGTGGAGGTGTGGGGGATTAACACCTTGCCCAGGGACACACAGGTGCCTGAGAAGCTCATGGGAAGAGGGGACTTCTAGTGTCTAATTTTCCCTCTGTCCTCCCAGGGCTGCCTAGACCTGATGACCACTGGTCACGCCACACAGATTCTGGACTGGAAGAGGCTCCTTGGAGTCATTCCTTGGCTGGTGACTGTAGAGGCTCACTAAGGTCAAGAAAGACATAGCTTCTTCCTGGAATAAAAAAGGAAAGATGGCCGGAGTGGAGTCCAGGGGTAGAGCGCACACCACCCATGCATGAAACTCTGGGTTTAATCCTCAGTGTAGCAAAAAAATAAGAAAAAAAAAAAAAAAAAAAAAGAAATGCCATAAGGTTTAGCCACCATGGTATGTTGACATATTAAATAAATGAATGTGTTTGGTGTTACAAAATTAATGCAGCACATCTGTATTTGTCATTCACAAGTTAATGACAGGACTTGTTTTTGAATGTTAGTTCACGGTAACCGATATGGGTCGAGGGGCCTAGAAATGTGACTCAAGACAAAGCCATCTCATTTTTCAGGTAGTTGTGTCCTTGCCCAGGCTGGCCTGGATTGCCATCCTCCTATTTGTGCTTCTCGAATAGCTGACAGGTGTACGCCACCATACCTAGCTATTGGTTGAGATGGGATCTTGTAAACATTTTGCTCAGGCTGGACTTGAACCTTAATCCTCCTCCTGAGTAGTTAGGACTACAGGTACGAGCCATTGTACGCACAGAGAACACTTCTTAAGATGAACATGACATCACTGTTTCCCTGCCCTTAAGATGGCCACCCTAGCCAGGCTCAGTGGCTCACACCTGTAATCCTAGCTACTCAGGAGGCAGAGATCAGGAGGATCAAGGTTTGAAACCAGCCCTGGGCAAACACTTCATGAGACTCTATTTTGAGAAAAAAACCCATCACAAAAAAAAAAGGGCTGGTGGAGTGGCTCAAGGTGTAGGCCCTGAGTTCAAACTCCCGTACCGCAAAAAAAGAAAAAAAAGGAAGAAAAGATGGCCAGCCTGATGAGCAAGCCCCCCATCTGCACCCTCCAAGTCCAGCTCCCAGGAACTGTGCCACCTGCTGCTCCCCTCCCCCACAACTGCCCTGTTCCTCTGTGGAACCCCGAGGCCAACTGACAGGTCTGCACTCAGCAGCCTCCCCTGCCCCACCCTCAACTCCCTGCCCTCCACTTCCATTGTCCTGTGCTTAATATCTGTCCCCAGTGAGAATGTGGTCACCTGAAATCAAACCTTCTGGCTCTGGCCAGGGAGACACGCCACGTGGTAAGAAGAGAAACAATAGTCTTTAAGTGAGTCAGCCCAGGGTTTGGTTCTCTAGCCAGGTCCTTAGCCAATCTGAAACTCAGGTTTTCATCTGCAGGATGAGACTATAATACCCACCCTGTAAACGTTGAGAATTTAAAGGCAGAGTCTATCCACAGCAGGCACTTAATAATGGTCCTGTGGTGTATGTCTGGCTGGGCCTTAAAGCAGGATGGCTTCATGCCAAGGGAATGGGACATTTGGTGGCCCAATGCTGGTACAGTAGAGCCACTCAAGTTCCAACGGGTGCTAAACCTCAGTCATTATATAATGGCTTTTGCAAGCCTAGGATTCCAGTTGGCAAAAATATTATTTTTATTTTTCATGGGACTGGGGTTTGAACTCAGAGCCTCATGCTTGCAAAGCAGACACTCTAACCACTTGAGCCACACTTCTAGTCCAATTTGCTCTGGTTATTTTAGAGATGGGAGTCTCAAGAGCTATTTGTCCAGGCTGACCTCCAACCTTGGTCCTCCTGATCTCAGCCTCCCAAGTTGCTAGAATTATAGGCATGAACCACCAGAGCCTGGCTGGCAAAGTCTTTTTTAAACCCAACATTGGTGAGGATATGTGAGAAAGATCACTTGATTCTGGCTCACAGAGTGGGAGAATTTTTCTGGGTGGAAATCTGCTGACATGTATATCTAAACGATGTTACCTTTAGGAATTTATGGGCACGCATACAGTGATATACATGGGTGCTCATGACAAAAGTGTTTATAATACCAATAAAATCTGCCTTCTCTAACTCTAGATTGGCTAGATAAAGCACAGTATTATTCTGCTATTAAAAATGTGTGAAATATGGGAAGATGCTCATAAAATCAACATTATAGTGTGTACCACTTTTTTTTTGGTGGTACTGGGATTTGAACTCAGGGCCTCAGGCTTGCTAGGCAGGTGCTTTACCACTTGAACCACTCTCCCAGGTCCTTCCTCTATGTTTGTGTCCCTGGCTAACAAACTAAAAAGAGCATATTTACACCAAAAATCAGTGTAGTTTCTGGGTAGTGGGGTTATAAGTGGTTTTTACTTACTTCTTTTTTTCTGTCTTCCAAAATCTCTACCGTTTAAGTTAGGAAATCAAATTTATTTTGATAAAATTTAGACTAAGTACAGATTTAACCTAAGTTTACAGTTACTTTGTGTGACTATCATACATATTGACCAAAAGATAATTTCCTGATTGTAGATTAATGACCTGGTAACTGTTCTTACCATCCTCTCTAGATTTTGTTCTTCAGATCCTTGTCATTTTGAAATAATTTTAGATTTACAGAAAAGTTGCAAAGACGGTACAGAATGTTCCCCGACACCCTTCACCCACTGTCGCTGATGGTAACAGCTTACATAACCATGGTGCACTCGTCCCAACTAAGAACCCAACAAGACTACCTCACCGTTAGCTATGTTTCAAACTTGATTTGGGTCTCAGACCTCAGTTAACGTCTGCTTTGGGTTCCAGGATCCAGTCCAGGCACCACATGACATGGAATTGTCCTGACTTTCAGTTTCTCCCATCTGGGACAGTTTCGCACACTTTCCATAGTTTTCATTCATGCATCCTGGATGAATTTGTGATCTAGTTTTGGTTTTGCTAGTACTTGGGTTTGAACTTGTGGCCTTGTACTTGTGAGGCAGGTACTCTACCACTTGAGCCATGCCCCCAGCCAAATTTTGTAATCTGAAAAAAAAGACGATGATGATGAAGAGAAGGAAGAAAAGAAAGAGGAGGGAGAAAGGAAGAGGAGGAGGAGGAGAAAAGGGAGGAAGAGAAGGGAGGAGGAGGGGAAAGGAGAGGAAGAGAAGGGAGGAGGAGGAGAAAGGGGAAGGGGGAGGAGAAGTAGGAAGAGGAAAAAGAAAGGAGGAGGAAGAAGGAGAAAGAAAGGGGAAGAAGGAGGAATGAGAAAGGGGGAGGAGGGGGAGGAAGAGGAGGAGGAAGGAGAAAGAAAAGGGGAGAGGAGAAAGGGGAAGGGAAAGGAGGAAGAGAAAGAAGGGGGAGAAGGAGAAAGAAAGGAGGAGGAAGAAAAGAAGAAAGAGGAGGAGGAAGGAGAAAGGAGGAAAGGAGAAGGGGAAGGGAGAAGGAGGAGGAGGAAGAAGAGGAGGAGGAGGAAGGAGAAGGAGAAAGAAAGGAGGAGGAAGAGAAGAAGAAAGAGGAGGAGGAAGGAGAAAGGAGGAAAGGAGAAGGGGAAGGGAGGAGGAGGAGGAAGAAAAGGAGGAGGAGGAAGGAGAAGGAGAAAGAAAGGGGAAGGGAGGAGGACAGGGAGAAGTGGGCTGGGGCATGGCTCCAGCAGTAGAGCACCTGCCTAGCAAGCACAAGGCCTTGCGTTCAAACCCCAGTACCTCCAAAAAAAGATTCTCTCTGGGAATTCGTTCGGCCTCATCTCAGCGGGAGGCCAAATTCCCCTCTTTCTTTCCCTGTTCACCTGGCATCAGTGAGATCCACCGAAGTTGGGGCGTCCTAATCCTTGCCCACTGTCCTTGGGGGCCCCTGCTCCGAGGGCTGGGGTCCCCGGCCCAACGCGGGGACAGTTTTGGCCCGGGTGGAGCCCTGGCTGGGCGGGAGGGCGGGGGGGGGTGCGGCAATCCAGGCCCAACGGGCCCGGGGCGGGCGGGGCGGGCGGGGCGGGCGCGCGGAGCTCGTGGGTGGCGCCGGGTCCCCAGCGGTCACCGCGCCCCGCCCCCGGCCCGGGTCCTATAACCTCGGCGGCTCGGGCCGGCCGAACCGGTGGCACCCGCAGCATGGCCTGGAACACCAACCTCGCTGGCGACTGCCGCTCGCCTGCCTGCTCCTGCAGGTGCTCACCGTGGTCCTCTTCGGCGTGTTCGTGCGCTACGACGCGGAGGCCGATGCCCACTGGAGGACCGAGAAGAAGATCAGGAACATCTCCAGCGACCTGGAGAACGAATTCTACTACCGCTACCCGAGTAAGTCCCGCCGCCCTCCCGCCCGCCAGCCCGTCTGTCTGTCCGCCGTCCGTCTGTCCGCAGGCTCACCTGGCGCACCTGCAGGCCGGCCCCACCTGGCTGGGCGCCCACCGGTTGCACCCGCCGCTCGCCCACAAAGGGGGACCCGGAGGCCAAGTGTGTGTGTGTGTGGGGGGGGTGATGTACCCCAGTCCCCGCTCTTGACCCCAGGGCAGCTGCCCACCAGGACACTCGCCCACCCTCGAGGAGCACGCTGCAGAAATGGTCAGGTGGGCACACACACCTTTTCCCGCCGTGAAGGACTAGGAAGGCATACTCACCTGGATGAGTTTGTTTGTTTTAACCACCCAGTCACCTTCCCTGCCAGCAAGCACTACTTGGTGTCTTCAAAGCCCAGAGTCCCACCTCCATCCCCGACCAGAGGGTGACATGGCTCCCATGTCATTCTGTGCCCGTCCACTCCAAATAAGGGACTAGGTAGATGTCAAGGGCCATAGGAATGGCTGGATAGCCTGCGGTCCCGCTTCGGGGACAAGTGTGGGACTGGTGGTGGAGGTTGGGGCAGGAAGTGCTGACACCTACCTTCTTTGGGCTTGGAGAGGGCCACCCAGCACACCCCCTGAATTTTCTGGTATCTGTGGTGCTGTAGTTAAAAGTGTGGCCCTGGAGTGACAGACCTATCTTCTATCATGGCTTTGCCGCTACCCAGTTGGATTGTCCTAGGCAGGCGCAACCTCAAGTTCCTCTCCCGGAATAGGGAGAATAATAGGACCTGCCTCACAGGGGTGGGGTGAGGCTGGTATGACAGAGGGTGTAGAGTTCTAACCCAGTGCTGGACATCCGGTCCTCACTGTCTAACGGATCCACCACACTACATCGTGAAACACAGATGCCTTTGGGTTTTGGGCTTCTGGGAGCTGGAAGGACTGGCCCAAGGTCACTTGAGTCTCCCAGCCCAGGACTCTTTCCATGTCCAGGGCTTTCTGAACTTCCACTCCATCTCCCAGCAGCCAATGGCGATTCCTCCTCTAAGTGCTGGTGCTCACACGGCCAGTGACCATTAATTTTGGAAGAGACACTGAAGTTCATCCCCAGTTGTCCCCTACAGCAATTCATTCTCTCCCTGGCTGTACTCAGCAACAGGCCATTCTTTACATCTGGTCCTAAAACAACCTCACACATATGTTTAGAAAGGCAGCCTGCATAAAAGAAGACTGCGTTGGTTCCGTGGCAGCCACCTGTATTCACTTAGGGCGATCACAGCCTGTATTTATGAATTCATGATGCCTACAGGAGAGGAGGTGAGTGGAGAGGGGCGTGCCCCCTGCTGGCGAGACAGCAGACCCAGGGCCATGGCTTCAAGTAGATCCCAACAGCTGTGTTTTGGGAATTTAGGGTGCAAGTCCTCACAGCCTAAGTCCACATTGCTCACTTTCCCTCTCCTTGGTGGGGGCCTAAGCAGGCAAACAGGGAGGCAGGCAAGCTCGAGGCCTTCCTTCGCCTGTTTCTCTTCATCCCTCCGGTTCTGGCTTACCTCTCAGCTCCCCCAGAAAGCGTGAAGGACAAGACCTCTCTGTCTGGGCATTCATTGGTTTTTGATGCGTCCAAGCAATGCAGGGGGTCGGGGGGTGCTTAACACCATGCAATGGGAGCTGCAGAACCTCCTCCCCTCCCCCGCCCCCCGTCAAATTGGGGTTGTGGTCTTCACATCTCCCTAGCTGCTATTCCCCTCCCTCCATGCTTCACCTTTGCTTGGTCACTGCACAGGCTTCATCTGTAGGGTGACCATATGTACTGTATCATCCAAAGGCGGACACTTCTGAGCAAAATGGGAAAGATGTTAGTAGAGACATGAGAGAACCCAGATGTGAACCATGTCTGTCCCGACAAACGAGGGCTCGGGTCACTCTGGACAAACAGTTTGAATATTCTAGGTCTCTGGCTCCCAAGGACTCCCAGACTTGTTGGGAAAAGGGAACTGTACCCCAACACCCAGGGCCAGTGGGGAAAAGTGCCCTGTTGCTCTCCACTGAGTAGGAGAGCAGGGAGAAGCAGGGCAGCGGAGGGGTCCAGCAAGCAGGGCGCTGGGCGGGGTGGTGAGTGACTCAATGTGGCCCTACTAGCAGGAGTTGTGAGAAGGTGGAGAAGGGTGCTGAGGACAGAGAGAGCCCCAGATTTCAAGGGAGGCCCTGAGTTCCCTGTGAGGTGGGGGAGCTCTTGACCCTGGGAGCAGAAGTGGCAGAGGAGAGGGTATCTGGCGGGAACCTTGGCCTAAGTTCTCCTTGGCGAGGACAGGAAGTACTGGAGCTGCAGCCCCTCCTGTGAATGCTATTACTCCATGCAGAGGCACTATCAGTCTCTGCATTTTTCAGGTGAGGTGATGAAGATCCAATAGGAGAGGTGTCTTGCATCTTGACTGGGTCCCTCAGCAAGGAAACCAGGAACCACTGTAGCAGCCCTGGGTCTGAGCCCAGAGGCCTGGAACACTCTCCCACCCGAGTGGAGTGTCCCCCTTCCCCTCTCCCCTTTTCCCAGCCCACTCTTCAACTCCCAGGTCACTGAGGCTGTGGTTAGGTACAAGAGGGCACCAGGCTTCCTGGCCCAGGTGGGTCTCCAAGCCTTCCTAGGGTACTAGGTAATACCCAGGCCCTGGTGGTACCTCCTGGTTCTTGGCTCCTGGCCGTTTCCAGTTTCCAGATGGCAGAGGCCAGAGATCAGGAGGACCTGAGGACAGCTCCTCAGGCCAGGGCCCCTTGGCAGGTGGCAGAACCAGAACTAGCTGGGGATCTGCCCTGGCGGTACCCTCGGAGGCTAGAGGTGCAGTGTTGCTTGCTGGACTCCCTTGTGGGCCTCAGTGACCAAGGGCAGTGGCTACAGGGGGGGGTTGACCGAAGGACAGCCACCAAGGCCTGGCTCCAGAAGCTTTCTGGGAAGGAGGAACAGAACACAGCTCAGGAAAGGATCCAGGACAGAGGTTGCCCTGGTCTCCAATACCTGCAGGCTTGTCTCATGCAGCCAGGTTTGCCTGGTGCTCTGGGGACCTGCATCTCAGACTCAGTTCCACTGAATAAGGACGAGCTTCCTCTGAGCACAGGTTGATGTAGCCTGGGGATTTGACTTTGAAATGAAACAGATCGGGATGTGTCACTAGACGGAGTGATCCCACGACCTAACCTCACAGCCTCAGTCTGACCATCTGTGAAGTGGGACTAGGATATAAGTGCAGACCTTAAGAAGATTCAAGACAGAGGGTGCCTTACCACACGCGTGAAGTAAGAGCACAGTACATGCTGGCATCGAGCTTCCCCAGAAGGGAGCGAGACTCTGCTGATGGCGTTTAAATGGAGGTTCTGCATCCCACTAGAGACCTGGCCAGGACATGTCTCCCTGAAGGCTAGCTTGAACACTCACAGCTTTTAAATTCCTTTGTGCTTGTCCCAGTTTCAAAGTGCCGTGTGCCTCCTGTGTCCAGTTTCCAGTGGAGGACAAGGTGATTAAGGGGAAATAAAGATTAGCCCTACATTCTCAGCGGGTCAGAGGCACAGGCATGAACAAAGCCACGCCCTCCTAGTGTACAGCCCACTTGATTTCTAGAGTCACCTGTGACAAAAAACAGTTAGGCTGGGCTGGCCCCTTCCTTAATGTAGCCCATCCGTGGCCCATCTGTGTTGGAAACTGTCCTCCAATTTGGGAGGCTTAACCAGTTTTCTGGGGTCTCATCTATGGGGGGAAGTTAGCTTGGGTGGTGAGGAGTAGGGGTGACTGGGGGTAGGGAAGGGAGTGAGAACTGCTGCGCGCTACTGCCCCCTGGTGGCAGATCTCCTAACAGGACGCCAGCTGTGCCCCCAACAGGACTTTGATTGGGGCCGGGTGCCTCATTAAATCAGTAGGTCGTAGCCTTGGTTGAAGTCATACAGTTTGGACCTCCGCATCATTACTGTTTAAATCATTGTAGGTAGCACCAAACCTTGACACATAAATTAATAAACAGATACCTTTCAGTGCTAAAATTAGGACCAGTTGTGAAGAGAAAGAGAAAAGAAGGTGCCAGAGGAGTGGGAAGCTGGTGTCTATATATCAGGGAAGGAAGGGAAACAGGGACACCTCCAGAGAGGGACAAAGAGAGGCAGGGCACCCAAGGGAACAGGAAGAGGGACAGAGAACTGGGGACAGTGGGAGGAAGGACAAGAAGGTGAGGACATTGTGCACCTATTCTCAGGCTACAGGGAGACCAACGGCAGTCCCCCTCTGTGTTCCTTCCCTCAGGGCCTTTTAGCTCTGCCCCAGTCCACAGCAGCACCCCTCCTTGAAAGGCCCTCACCTCCATGAGATTGTGTGTCCCAGGGGTTCCTCCCACCTTCCCCGCCGTGTCTGCTAGCTTCAAGGCCTAGCCATGCTCAGCTCGTGTCTGTCCTGTCTACAGTGCCACATTCCAACTCAGCTCTCTTTGCTGGCCTGCCAGCCTCTGACCGCAGCTCCTACCCCCACAGCCAGACACTGTTCTTCCCCACTGCCAGGCACCCTCAGCCCCCACCCCGTACCCATAGCCTGGATGGGACTCAGCACCTCTCTCCCACCCTGCATCCTCTTCCCTCCCACTGCCCTCCTGCCATCCTGCCATTCAGCTCCATTCCCTGCTTCTGGACCTGATATCCGGTGTCACCTCCCTCTCCTTCACAGCTCTCTTCCAGTCTGTCACCCACAGTTCTCCCCAGAAAAACCGGAACACCTTTTATGGTGCTTTGTATACGTAAGCTCTACTTCCTCCACAACAGTTGGAAATGTGGTAAGCTATGAAACACAACGATACGTTCAACCTGAGATGTGCTGTTCCTCTAACTCGGCACAGAGCTAAATTCCCAGAGACGCTCAAAGCACCATCCTGGCGAGGGTAGGGGAACCTCTGTTCTCCTGCACCAGCTGTGCCCCTACCCTTCAGTGTGCCAGGCACCCTACACCTCCTCCATGTGGCGGTCAGCCAAGGGGTCTATGGCCATGATCTGGGTCTCAGGGAAGTTGGAGGGGAGATGGGTGAGGACAGATGGGGCAGGCAAGGTCAAGGTTGCAGTGGCCAGGCTGCCGTGGGCACCAGGACCTGTCAGCCTGTGGGTGGAGAAGGACTGCAGACCCACCTGACTGTAAAATGGCCCCCAGGGCTCCTGAACAGCTGGGTGCTGTAGTCACCCCTGGCTACTCACGCAGGCACGGCCCCACCTTGCAGTTTGTTAGTCTCATGGACTAGACAATCAAGTAGGCATAGAACTGCAATTTGTAATAAGAAGTGTGACAGGGAGTGCAGCATGAGGGACAGCCAGCTTTAAACTGTTGGAGCAGGAAGGCTCTCTGGCTAAGATCGGTAGGAAGAGAAGGTGCTTGGCCATTCTGTGGGAACGAGGGTGCTCTGCAGGAAAGACCCTGGAGGGGGACTCCACAGCTGGGTCCATCCATCCACTGTCAATATTTCATTTTCTCAATTGACCCGGTAATGACCTCTTTCTCTCCTCCTCTGGCCCAATACAGAACCTGGTGTAGAGTTAGGTATTGAATTTAGTTGGCACGTCTTTTAATCTGGAACATTGCAAAGACCCTTTCTTTGTCTTTATGTCATGAGTAGTTTTCAACCTGTTTCAAGAACAGATTACTTACGTTGTTTGTCTGATGTTTTCTGGTGATTAGACTGGATTATGCAGTCTCAGCTAGAGTCCCATTCAGGTGAAATTAGGTGACACCACACTTGGATATCAGGGCGTGACATCTGTCCCTCACTGGGTGGTTAATTTTGACCACCCAGTCAAGATGTAGACTTAGTTCTCACTGTGTAATTACTGCTGTGTTTTTCTTCCCTTGCAACTAAAAATGAGTGGTCTGTAGGGCGCTTGAATTTAGCACCACCCTTACATCTCCCCTGTGAAAACTTCACGAGCGCTGATTCTCCACCCCTGCGGAAAAGGGTTGTGGTGGAGAGGGACGGGAGTCATCGTCTGGCCTCAAATTCAGTTGCCCAGCTGCCCACGCCTGTGGGCTGGAGGACGGTGTCAGGAACCTGTCATCTCCCTAAGGGAGCCCCAGGGCATCTCCTGCCTCTATGACCTGGTGGTATAAGTTGGGAGGCCATCTCTCGGCGGGACCCCTGGCTCAGCCTCCTCTAGAGGCCCTTGTGACAAGATGGGGGTAGTGACAGGATGCAGAAATGAGGGGACAAGAATTCAGGGCTTGGAGTTCTGCCCCCTGCCCAGACAGTGGCAGTAAAGACAGAGGGGGCTGTCCAGGGCCATGAGGGGCCTTCCCCAGATCCCTGACGCGCTGTCCCCGCAGGCTTCCAGGACGTGCACGTGATGGTGTTCGTGGGCTTTGGCTTCCTCATGACCTTCCTACAACGCTATGGGTTCAGCGCTGTGGGCTTCAACTTCCTGCTGGCGGCCTTCGGCATCCAGTGGGCGCTCCTCATCCAGGGCTGGTTGCAGTCCCGGCAAAACGGCTACATCTTCCTGGGCGTGGAGAGGTGAGTGCAGGGTTGGGGGGGCGGACTGGGCGGGACAAGGGGGCGGGGCCTGGAGGGAGGGCGGGGCCTATGGAAAGGTCCCTCCTCTCTCACTAGGATGGAGACCGCAGGCATTTGAGGCCAGACTTCTCTCCAGGGGTGGAGAGGCCCAGGCCCCCCCACCCTGGCACATCACAGTTACCCGGCCCCTGGGATCCACGTGGCAGAGCCCGATGCAGGGAACACAGAAATGGGGAGTCCAGCCGAGAGGAGGTGCCTCTTCCTCCACTGTACCCTCTTCCCCCCCAGGGCACTGGCTTTGGATACAGTTGTGAGACAGGTGTGGGTGTGGAGATTAGGGCCAAGCTAGTTAATGAATCCATGAATTAGAGAAATAGGAAAAATAGTTGACTAGATAAATGTGTGCTGGAATCAGTAAATCATTAACAACTCTCTCTGCTGCTGGCAGGGGACAAGGAGGAGTCCTGGTCAGGCCAAGTGGTCAGTGGATCTGCCTTGGTCACACACACCCACCTGGCCGTCTGCCTCTCCATCAACTCTCTGCTGGGCTGGCTGGGCTTGCAGATCCAGACCCAAGGGGGACTGGGTACCTCCCCTTTGCCTCATTGTCACAGTGGCCCTTCCTGTCCCACCCTTCTGCCCAGTCCCACCCCAAGTCCTGTTTTTCTCTCTTCCCTGGACACTATCCTCTTGTGCCAGTAAGATGAAGGGAAAGACCCAATAGCTCAAACCCCAGCCAGGCCCTGATGCAGTGGGACAGGTGTGTGCGGATGGAGTGCTGAGGCGCTGTAGGAGAGACCACATCTGATTGGAGGAACTGGGGAGGGCTTCCTGAAAGAGAAGGCAGTGAGAGCAGGTTCTGGAAGGGCAGGTAGGAGGTAGAGGGTAGGAGCAGTTGGTGGCACACGCCTATGATCCGGTTTTGTGGGAGGCCAGAGATAGAAGGAGTTTGGTCTAAAGCTGATCCTTGGCAAAAACTGGAGTCCCTGCCAGAAAAATAATTAAAGCAAAAAAGGGCTTGGGATGTGACTCAAGTGGTAGAATGCCTGCCTTGCAAACGTGAGGCCCCGGATTCAAACCCCAATACAGGGCTAGTGGAGTGGCTCAAGTAGTAGAGTGCCTGCCTAGCAAGTATGAAACCTTAAGTTCAAATTCCCAGTACCACCAAAAAAAAAAAAATGTACAGAAGAAGTGGGAGAAGAAGGAGGAGGGAGGGGAAAGAGAGAGAGAAGATAGAGGGGCCCCAAATATAGGGTATGTCACCAACAGCCACCAGGCCACTTGGGTACCCTGTGCACCAGCTGTGCCTGCTAGGGGAGGGGGCTAGAAGGGAAGGGGGTGGCATCTTGTATGTCCCACTGCTATGCTGGGTGCTTTGTATGTGTAGCCCTAAATGTTATGCGCCCATTACTGCAGATGGCAGAACTGAGGCTTAAAGAGATTAAAGTACAAGCCCAAATCCACTGAAAACCAAAGTCCAAATTCAAGACCCCAAACCCTCCCGGGCCTGTCTTCCCACAGCCTCATCAAGGCCGACTTCTGTGTGGCCTCTGTCTGCGTGGCCTTTGGGGCAGTTCTGGGCAAGGTCAGCCCCATCCAGTTGCTCATCATGACCCTCTTCCAAGTGACCCTGTTTGCAATCAATGAGTTTATTCTCCTCAACCTGCTGGAGGTGAGCGGGGGCTCTGAAGGGGGAGGGGACACCGGCAGGGATAGCAGGTGGCTAGCGAAAGAGAGGGCTGGGGACACACACCAGCCTGGCAAGTCACTTGACTTCTTGAGCCTCAGTTTTGTCATCTCTAAGGTCAGTGGTACCATCTACCCAGCAAATATGAGAGCCTACCTGGTAGATCAGGTGTTCTTGGAAATTCTGAGTCTTTCCGTCTTTATTGTCCATCAGCTGGGAGGAGTAGGATGTTCCTATACTTATTCTTACACACACACGCACACACCCCACATCCCCAGGTTGTTCTGCCCAGAAAAGGTCAGGTGACAGATCTCTCAGGAAGGATCCCAGGAGGTGACCATATACAGCTGCACAGGCTGTGCCATTCACATGAACCATGGCAAGGATGCCTCCTTCTCGAGTCGGTCAGTCCCATGGCCCAGACAAGGGGGACCTTAGACTGCTGACTCTCGGAAAGCTCCTTGATGCCTTTGTGGGGAGGCGGGTATCGCCTTCTCCTCTTCCTTATTTAGACTCTGCCTGGAACACATCCCCCCAGGGGAGGGGTTAGACCACCCTAACCCAGTCATTCACTTTGCCATTTTCTCAGCCTCTGGGCCAGTCCAAGCCACCTTATCTCTTCCCCCTGGTCCATCTCCAGGCTCCATTCTCCCTTCCCTCTATCAGGCCAATCTCCACCAGTGGCCAGTAACCCACTTAATAAGGCCTGGGAGAGAACTCAGAGTTGGCTTTGAATTTCACTTGGAATAAACCATCTCTCTGATGCTGTCTCCCCGTCTCTATGTTTTGGCCATGCCTGCTGTCTGCCCCTCAGTCACGCCAAGCTTGGTCCCCATTCGTGCTTTTAAAGTGTCTCTCTCATCCAAAATGGAGCCACCTCTGTCATTGTTCCCCTTACACTTAGACCCCAGGGAGCTCACAGCGCAAGGAGGGACCCAGGAAGTGGACAGTGAACAAGCTAGCTCAAGTGCTGGGTAGCCCAGCAGAGGGTGCCAAAACCAGCCTGGCAGGTCAGGGGGGCTTTTGGAGGTCAGGACCTAACCAGTCAAAGGAGTGAGTGAGGGTATCCAACGGTGGTGTGTACAAAGGCCGAAGTCACACCCAGGGCAAGGGGTCTCCAGTGGCTGGAGAGGGTTTATGCTGGGAGGGGAGGTTAGAGGGGACAAAGAGTGGGTGAAGGCAATCCTTGGGGACTGTGCTAAGAAGCTCCAGCTTGGTCGTGAGGGCAGTGGGGAGCTATGGATGGCCCTAAACGGGGGAGTGGCCCAGCTAGACCCGTGTAATGGAAGTGTCATTTTGCTGTGGTGACAAGAATAGAGTAGGCAGGGCACAAAATTAAGAGGCAGTCTGGTGGCCCCTGTACTGGGTCCAAATTGGCCCTGACAAGAAAACAGATGACAAGAAAAGTAGAGGAGCTGAATAAACAGGTGTTGGAGACAGACCTTCTCGGGAGAGAAGGAAGTCAGGATGGCTGTAGGGGCAACAGTGGGACCCACCTCTGCCAGCACCTTGCTAAGAGGCAACCCCATCCCGATCTGCTGCAGAGTCTTCTAGGGCATGATGGTCTTTTGGCCTGTCCGTGACACGAGGGAGAATACAGTAACTGTGCTGCCACACGAGGAGCGCTTGTCCTCCACTGGGCTCTGCTCTGAATGGCAGACATGGGTTAACTCCTAATCCTTATCTTGGAAGCAGGGCAAGTGTCACCCCCATTTCACAGCCCAGGCAAACCCACATTGGAGATAAGGAAGCCACTCCTGCAGTAAGGACATTAATCCTTTCCTAAGAGCAAAGGCTTCCTGACCTAGCTAGCTCTGAAAGGCCCCTCAGCATTGTTGCGTTGGGGATTAAGTTTCTGACTCTGAGGGACACAAACATAGCACCCTCTGCACTCAAGGAGTGAGTCCGATTGGGTTCTTCTGAATTTGGCTCTGAGTGAGGGAGGAAGAAGAGGCTAAAGAGAGGGTGACAAGGGAGGGGCTAACACCACCAAGCACCTATGTCATGCCAGGTGTGTCACACAGGTTGTCTAGTTCAATTCCGACAAGACTCTTAAGTCACCACGATCTCCCGCGCTTTGTAAATGAGGTCTTGATGAGGTCTTGAGACCTACAGAAGCCAATGAGAGACACAGAGGGGTGTAGGGCAGGAAGGGACAGATGAGAGCACTGGGGGGGGGGCGCGGTGCAGGATGGGGTAGGTAGCCCAGATTGCCAGGTTGGCTGGGGGACTGGAGAGCAAGGAGTGTGACAGGATGCAGGGGGTGGGTAATGGTGTTCTGGGCGGGGGGTGTAGTTGTGTAAAACAAAATATGGGGAGAGGAGACACAAGAGGGAAGGGGAGTTCTTAGGAGTTAAAATAAGGAAACCAGTGGGTGACAGACTAGATGGAGGATGCCCTGGGTCCTGATTCTTCTAGCCAATGACTGAGCAGGTCCCTCTCCAAGCCAGAGTTTCCCCATCTGGGAGCAATGCCATTTGCTGGGTGAGGCACTCTTGTTTGATTCAGGGATTGCCACCTCCCTGTGTCCAGGAGATTAGTCTGTAGGGTCCTGGGCTCCGTCCTGCAGTCCCAGAAGTCAGACAGCTGTGTATCTGTGTAGGGTGATGAGGAGGGCTATGGGAAGGGAGGGAGATGGGAAGAAGGTTCTAGATCCTGACAGGCTCCTTCCACTCCAGGTGAAGGATGCAGGGGGCTCCATGACCATCCATATATTTGGCGCCTATTTTGGGCTCACAGTGACCTGGATCCTCTACCGACGCAACCTAGAACAGAGCAAGCAGAGGCAGAGTTCCGTGTACCACTCAGACCTCTTTGCCATGATAGGTGAGAGCTGACCACTTCCATGATGACTGAGGGCTGCTCTGGTTGGTGAGATCCGCCATGATGAGTGTGGGCCACTGTGATGGCTGAGGGCTGCCATGATGGCTGAGGGCTGCCATGATCACTCCAATCCCTATGTGGTCAGTGGGTGACTACCAGTTCCTGTTGGGGAAAGGGCGGAGGGAGGTTGCTTGTGAATACTTCTAGGATCCCAAATGTCTGTTTCTCTCCTGCATGGGGCTGAAAGAAGTTGGTGGCTTATCCTGTGTTTTTCCTAGAACACCCTAAGGCAGACAGAGTGGAAGCCTCAAACTGGCCACTGTGTCTCTTCATTCCAGAGAACACAAGGACCATGCCCGCCCCGTTATCCTGGAACCCAGTCCTGCCCTCCAGGGGCCCCTCACAGTTCATGTGAGAGAGGATAAAAGATTCTCCCACGTGGGGCTTTGTGAGTGGGTTGTGGGTGTTTAGCCAGTTACAGGGTCATAGAAGACTTGCTATAGTGGCCTGGAGGCCCAGGTGGGAGTTGGGCAGGTGAGCAAGGCATTCTGGGATAAGGCCTACCATGAGTAAACTCAATGGTGGGAACCACAAGAGCGCGTGGTCATTGCTCATCTCTGAAGCTGAAGCTGAGCTCTGGAGTGTCCTGGCCCCGTGTGTTCTGATGCAGGGACCCTCTTCCTGTGGATGTACTGGCCCAGCTTCAACTCAGCCGGGTCCGAACATGGGGACACTCAGCACCGAGCTGTCATTAACACCTACTGCTCCTTGGCAGCCAGCGTGCTTACCTCGGTGGCAGTGTCCAGTGCTGTGCACAAGAAGGGCAAGCTGAACATGGTGAGCAGTGGGCCTGGGGGGAGGTGCGGGCACTGGTCACCATTCCCTGCCAACAGCTGCCGGCTGAGCACAGTCATCTTGAAGGCTGGGTGCAGCAGAGGCTGGGGAGACACAGCTGGTTAACCTTTTTGTGTATTTGTGGGGGAACTAGGGTTTGAATGACAGCTGTGTTTTGGCAGAACTACACCCGGGTCCTCTGAGTTCTGCTATATGGGCTGCTCTGACAACCTGGTTCTTCCTGCCTGTCATTCTCTTCTCCACAGCCCCTGAGCCCTGAGCACCACATCAGACTGTCACATCCTCTCTGCCACCTCTGATCCTCTGATCTTAGACACCAGTCTTCTGGTTCTTTTTTTTCAATACTAAGGCTTTGAACACAGGACCTCCAGCCCTTTGTGCTTTAGTCACTTTTCAGATAGGGTCTTGTACTTTTGATTGGGACCAGTCTCAGACCAGGATTCTCCTTCCTGTGCCGCCCATGTAGCTGGGATTGCAGGCACACACCATGCCCAGCTTGTTGGTTGAGATGGGGGTCCTGCTAACTTTTTGCCCAGGTTGGCCTAGAACCTTGATTCTCCTGATCTCCACCTCTAGAGTACTGGGATTACAGGCATGCACCACCATGTCCACACAGCCCCCCAAGTTCTTAAATCTGCCCCAGGCCCTTCCCCCATGCTCAAAGGAATCCACTCCACTGTGGAAGTCTGGGACATGGTCTTGCACAGTGTCCCTTCCAGTCACACCACTGGGACAGCTGTCTCTGTCAGTGGGGAGCAGCTGAGCCTCTTGACTGTTGATAGATTTTTCTATAAAATCAGAAGTAGTGACACAAACTCTGCCTCATCTGACACAAGTGCCTTGACGTGTGTATATGTGTGCAGAGACACCGTCAGGGGACCCCTGCATGGGTCCCCAGATGCACAGGACACAGAGGTAGCACTTGGGCACAAGAGGGAACAAACCAGGGTACACCCAAACTTGCACATGGGGAGGGATGTGGAATGGACCTGTGTGGAGCATCTTTCTGTCCCTTGCTTGCTCTGTGCTCACACGTAAGTCGCTTAACCTCCTGCATCTCAGTTTCCGTAGCAGCAGACAGGGAAAGAAAACAGTGCCCACCCACAGGCCTGCTCCCCACCGCCAGCAGCACACGTCCAGCACAGGCTGTCATTTTGAGAGTGACCGTGGTGCTTGGGTGTGTATGGGTGCACAGAAAGGGAACGAGCAGATGCGCTGGTGGGTCTCAGGAGCACATCTGGCAGCACACATCCCTTGTGGACATAGAAAGTGGCCACGCCTGCTGGGCAGGGTGGGTCTCATGCTTACAGGGCACAGGGGACAGTTGTACTAAGCCTGGACCAAGGCCAGGCCCCTCTGCATGGTCCTGGCTTGCTCAGGTGGACTCCGAGCTGTCCCCAGCTCCCAGGTGCCACCCTCACACCGCGAGGGCTGAGCTCCTGCCTGCCCTGTCCATCCTGCCCAGGTGCACATCCAGAATGCCACGCTCGCCGGAGGGGTGGGCGTGGGCACTGCTGCGGAGATGATGCTTATGCCTTATGGGGCCCTCATCGTGGGCTTCATCTGTGGCACCTTCTCCACCCTGGGATTTATGTACCTGACGGTGAGGGCCCCCGGGGCAGCGGGCACTGGGGTCTCTGTGATCCTGACACAAGGAGGGTCCCGAGGGAGAGGGGCTGAGGCATGGAGACTCCCCTCCCCGCCCCGTCCCCTATCCCTGGTGTCTTTGAGGGCCTGTCCACGTTCCAGTAACAGCCTCAGTCTGAGCAGTGCCACCTCCGCCCCCCTCAGCCATTCCTGGAGTCCCGACTGCGCGTCCAGGACACGTGTGGCATCCACAACCTGCATGGTATCCCGGGCATCATAGGTGCCATCGTGGGTGCTGTGACGGCGTCCTATGCCACCCCTGAAGTATATGGAGAATCAGGGTGAATGCAGAGGGGATGCGGGGGCAAGGGGCTCCCTCCTTCCTTCTCCATATGCCTTCCCGCTGGTCCAAGACTGTGTCTTTCTCCCCTTCCTTCCCCTCTCTGGACCATCATGGGCCTCTCCCTCCCAGCTTCAGTGCCTCCACAGGATACTGACCTGTCTGGTGTCCCCATTGTGTAGCTGGGAAGGGTGAGGCCCAGGGTTTCCAGAGCTGTGGTGCCCATGCGTGTCTGTGGGGTGGCAGGCGGTGGTTACTTGGCCTGTCTGTGGGGCCCTGACCTGCCCCTGTCTCTACGCCAGGCTTGTCCATTACTTTGACTTTGAGGGTTTAAAGGAGAAGTGGACCACAAAGACTCAGGGCAAGTTCCAAGTGTTCGGCCTTCTCCTGACCTTGGCCATGGCCCTGTTGGGCGGCACCATCGTAGGTGAGTGAGAGCGGGCCCGGCCAGAGACAGTGGAGACCTGGTGGGGCTCGCCAAGTGAGGGGACCCAAGCGCATGTCACAGGGGTGAGCCTGGAGCTCCCTGGCACCCCTTACCTGTGTACATCCCAGTGTGGGCCTGAGGGTGAGTGCTGGGGTGGGTGGAGAGAGTTTCTTGCCTCTGCTGACTTCCAGCTTTCTTTAGGGCTCATTTTGAAATTGCCATTCTGGGGACAAGCTGCAGATGAGAACTGCTTTGAGGACTCGGTCTACTGGGAGGTGAGTTCTAGAGCTTGTCCCCTGCGCAAGGACAGCTGCACCTGTCCTCCCCACCACGATCCTCTGGGCAGGGGAAGCAGACAGCATCACCCTGCTCCTCTGGGTGGGAGGCTGTGCCTCCTACAGGCTGAAGCCTCACCCCCCCATCCTTTCCCCTCTGGACCCCAGGGCTTGGAGGGGGATGCATATACCTCTCTGGGGGCTGCAGAAGCAGCCTACGGTCAGGTCTGCAGCTGGAGCCTCCTCACCCAGCTGAATTCCAGCAGTGACTCCTGAGGTCTGGACACCCCGCCCCCCAACATCATCTAGAACTGGTTAGAAATGAGAAGTCTCTCATTCCCCTCCCCAAATAAACTTCCAGGTGATTCTATAGAAAATATATCTAAGAACCACTGAATCAGACCTGCCGTTTGGGCCTTACCTGTAGGCTAGGGTCACCTGGGGAAATTTCAAAGTACCCAGAAGCTACAGTGCAGATGCTCGGATGTAATTGGTCTGGTGTAAGACCTGGATATCAGAATTGTGTTTTGCTTTGCTCTCTTGAGACAAGGTCTCACTATGTAGCCCAGGCTGGCCTCAAACTCACCAGTCTTCCCGTCTCTGCCTCTCAAGTGCTGGGATTATAGGAGTGAAATACCATGCCTGGACTGACATTGGAATTTTGATCTTAGGTTTTTGGGTTTTTTTTGGGTGGTACTGGAGCTTGACCTTGGGGCCTCACGCTTGCTAAGCAGGCACTCTACCACTTGAGCTGACACTGGAATTTTTATAAAACAGCTTCTTAGGTGATTCTAACATCTAGCCTGGGTTAAGGGGCACAGTGAAGCACCCAACTTCAGTGCCCAACTCGTCTCCACAAGGACCACCTGGAGACCTTGTAAAAATTCAGTTCCCTCGTGTCAGCCTGGGAGTGACATTCAGCAGGGCCCACGACTCTGCAGATGAACAGGCTCCCAGGTGATCCTGGACAGAAACTGAATTCTATCACACGCCACCACTTTCAGCAGCCAGAAGCGTGTCAGTACAGAAGCCCAACCTGAGAGACATTCAGGAAGTTGAAAGTGCCGCAAGGTAGCAGAACCCAGTGTCTCTAAAACATGCCATGATTTAGCCTGATGTCTGTGGCTCACGCCTGTAATCCTAGTAGCTCGGGAGGCAGAAATGAGGAGGACCACAGTTCTAAGACAGCCTGGGCAAATAGTTTTCAAGACTCAACACACACAAAAAAGGGCTGGTGGGATGGCTCAAGTGGTACAGTGCCTGCCTAGCAAGCGTAACACCCAGAGTTCAAACTCAGTACTCCCAAAAAAAAAAAAAAAAAGCCACAACAAAATTTAGCTAGGCCCCAGTAGCTCATGTCTGTAATCCTTGCTACTTGGGAAGCTGAGGTTGGGAGGATCACAGTTCGAGGCTAGCCCAGGCAAATAGTTTGAGAGGACTACCTCCCAACATCTTCAAAATAACCAGAGCACAACTGACTAGAGGTGTGGCTCAAGTGGTAGAGAGCCTGCTTTGCAAGCATGAAGTCCTGAGTTCAAACCTCAGTCCCACCAAAACAAAAAAAACAAAACACAAACAAACGAACAACCCCAAAACACGCCACCATTGTGCCTTCTGTGGCTTCAGATAGGCCTGTCTCCCACAAACTATTATTTCAGGTGCTCACCTGCATTGCTTACTACTTTCCTGTCCCTCCTGCTCCGTGGATATGCCCAGAGTGATGGCGTGGAGGGGGCTCCTCTTGCCTCCTGCACTGCCCCCTCGCAAGGGTGAGGACCAGCCTGTGTCTGTGGCCCCTGGGAGGAGAGAGCTCACTGCCTTTCATTTGGTTCTGTATTTTCAAAACCATCCTGGAAGTTTTCAGGGCAATTTAATTAATATCTACCGTAATCCATACATAATTTAAATATAATTTATATAATTCATGTGGTTTCAGGCATGTTAATAATAAGTCTTTTAAATTAACTCTTTAAATTTGTTTTTTAATTATAAAATGATAAAGCTAATTAAAGAAAACCTGGACATTGAGAAAAATATAAAGAATCCCTTCGGAAGGGGCTGGGGGCATAGCATATGCTATAACACTCTGGGTTCAATCTCCAGCATGGCCAAGAAAGTTAAAAAAAAAGGATAAGATTAAAAAAAAAAACCCACTGACCACCCTAATTCAATTTTGACATGTTCGCTTTTGTTCTTTTTTTTCCTCTCTGTGCATTTTTTTTTTGTTTTTTGGGGGCACTGGGCTTTGAACTCAGGGCTTCATGCTTGCAAAGCAGGCACTCTATGCTTGAGCCACACCTCCACTCCATTTTTCTCTGGTTATTTTGGAGATGGCGAGTCTCCCTCACTATCTTCCCAGGCTGTCCTCAAACCTCAATCCTCCCTATCTCAGCCTCCTGAGTAGCTAGGATTACAGGCGTGAGTCACTGGCACCCGGCTAGATTTTTCTTACACAGTTGAGTTCAGATTATCCACCCTGCTTTTCTCGTTACCTCTCTGACATAAGAATTGCTCTGTGCTATGACATTCTTAATACACTTTCTTTTTTCTGAGCACAATTCTATCTTTAAGGTCAGAATGTAAACTATATGAGACACCATAACTACAAAGCACATGTGTTTAAAACTAATGAAATACGTCAGAAATGTTATCGGTTTCCTTACTTAGAATTTTCTTCTTGGTTCTGTTTTGATCTTGTAATTCTTTTCAAGTTCACACCTCTTAGCTATTTGCCCTCAGCAGTAACAAAATCCTGTATCAATAGAAGAACTTCACAGTCCTGAGGCCCCTGGATGGCTTGAGGGTGAGGTGGCCTCCCAGAGGATGGGAGGTGAGACAGGTGTTCCCCAGGATCACAGAGGGGCAGTTTTTATGATCCACTCCACCTCCCAGACCCTCTTCCAGCCTCCTCTTCACATCCCCATCCCACCTTGGACCTGTTTGCAGCTACCTCTTTCCTGGCATTCCTCATCTTTCAAAAAAATGGGTTTGGGCCAGGTGCCGGTGGTTCACACCTGTAATCCTAGCTTCTCAGGAGGCAGCTATAAGGATTTTGGTTTGAGGTCAGTCAGGGCAAATAGATCTTGAGACCCTATCTTGAAAATACCCAATACAAAAAAGGGCTGGCATAGTGCCTCAAGTGGTAGAGCACCTGCCTTATGAGTGTGAAGCCCTGAGTTCAAACCCCAATACCACCAAAAAAAAAAAAATAGGTTCAGCACAGCCTCCCAGAGCCCCCCCAAGTCTAATGATAAGACTCTAGCATTCAGTTACAGCTCTTATGTCACTGTGTGTTTCGCTCACCAGTGTCCCTGTGGGGCAAAGACCTGGTCTGGTCCTTGCTAATTGGGTCCTTGCTATGCCCCAGCACCCAGAATTAGGGGCTGTCCGGGACATGCGATCTGCACGGTAGCCACAAGGTGGCGCCCGCCACCCACCATTCCCAGCCCCAGGCTGTTCTAGCTCCACCTGGGGACATCGGCCATCCTGGGACAAGGACCTTGGGAGTTGCCTCCTCTCTCTGCAGATCGATGAAGAGAACAGTGCTGTACACCTCCCTGAGGACCCCACCCTCAAGCCCCCGGCACCTGTGGTACCCTCAGTACCCTAATCTCCTGGGCTGGTAAGAAGCAGGTGAACCTTGTCCTAGGGGGATGGTGGGCTGGTTCTCCCAGTGGGGGCCCAGATCTCAGAATCAGGTGCCACCTGCAGAGGGCTTAAAAGCAGGCATGAGGAAATGGGGGTGTGAGCCCCCCCCACACACCTCCCAGGCAAGGTGGGCGGCCTGGACTGAAAGAGCCCTGCGGGGTGGGGAGGGCACACTTGGCTTTGAGGTTGTGCCTGCTGCAGTCACCTTGAGTCTCTTCGGCCTAAAGACAGAGCCTCACACTCTCTATAAAGGGGAGCTGGTAGGCCTGGCTCTATTTAATTGATTAGTTCCCTCCCTTCCTCTTCTGTGCAACACAGTGAACCCTAACTTGGGGCTCCTGTATCCAGCCCTTGGAAGGTCTCCACGAGGCAGGGTAATTAGTTTTTGTTTGGGTTTTTTTTTTGTTTGTTTTTGTTTTGTTTTGTTTTTTTGAGACAGGGGTCTCCCTATGTAACCCAGGCTGGCCTTGAACTCAGGATCCAACTACCTCAGCCTCCCGAGTGCTGGGGTAGCATGTGTGTACCGAGTCGCCCAGCTCTTCTCTCCTTTTAATAGCTAAGGAAGTTAAGAATCAGTCAGTTTCAGTCTACGTGGCCACACAGTTTGTCAGTGGGGGGCTGGGGTCAGGCTGCGATCCCTTGCTGCTGGTAGTAATCCCTCCTATCCAGAAAAGAGAAAGATGTCCACACGGCTGCATCAGGACGAGGACAGTGACAGCTGCTCGTGGCTCTCTCCCTGCAGGCTCCACAGTCTGCCCAGGGCTCTAAGGAGTTAGTGCTCATCTCTCTGGGGACTCAGGAGCAAGGAGAAAGCATGGTCTGCTGGCCTGGCCCCCGGGCACCTCTACCCCTTTAACCCAGGGCGCCTGAGAATGGAGAAGGTGGAACTTCAGAGAAAGTGGGCCTCAAGCCAGGACCCGGCTGCAGAAGACCCCACCTGGGATCTTGGTGGCTCCTTCTTGGGAACAGCAGGCCTGGAGTGGGCTGAGTGGGGCTGGGGCCTGGGGTGGACCTGACCCTCCCAGGAGGCCATCTAAAGGCCAGCCACCATCTATTGGGCTCTTCCACTCCCTGCCTGGCCCTCAGCCAGCACCTCCTCTGCTCCCTGGGACACCAGGCCTCTCTGTGCAATGGAGGTAACAGCCTCGTAGAATAAATGTGCTGACGTTCTTCATAGACGGGGTGTGAGTGCTCCAGTGAGCCAATAGAAGGGAAAAATGGACCCAAGACACCTGGCCTCCTGCCCCACCTCCAAGAGGCCGCCCACATTGCGGGGAAGTCCTCCCCACACTGAAGAAGGCCCAGCAGGCTCTGCTCCGGAAACTCGCCCTCGAGAAGGCTGCCACCTCTGCTGTGCCCTCCCCAAGGGTCTGCTGTGGGCATGCCAGCAGGGCGAGGGGCAGAGAGGGAGGGAAAGCAAGTGGGTCCTTTGAGGACTTTCCCCCTCCTTCCTGTGCCAAGCCAGCCTGTATCCTGGAAGAGTTTCAGAAGTTTAGATTCCCTGATCCAGCAACACCCTGGGCAGAGTAACTAACACATGGTTCCTGCCCTCAAAGGGGCTTACAATCTAGTGAGACACAGAGCTCACACACAGTGCCCACCCTGAACTCCGGAGGTGTGCTTGGACCATGTGGCTTCCCAAAGTATGGCCACCTGAGCAGGGTTCTGGAGACTGAATAGGAGTTTACCAGATGGATGGCAAAGGTATAGCATATGGACCAGACCCATGGGCAGGTGAGGTTGGACAGGGCTAGCAGAGAAGAGGTGAGAGGAAAGTGTGCAGACAGGAGAACCAGAGGCAGAATGGAGAGTTTTTTTGTGGAGCAAAGGCTCCTGGGAAGAAGGGGTGAAGGGGGGGCTCGCCTCTCCTGCCTCGACTCCGCCCTCCCCGCCCCCTCACACTCTGGACTTGGTGGCTCTCAGCAGAGCCGGGAGGGGGGAAGGAGGGAAGGAGGGAGCTGAAATGCAACCTATTCATGTTCCCTGGTGTAACACCCCTCATTTTCCTTGCTGGGTAAAGACAAAAACCCTTTACAACCTGTTTCTGGAACTTGTCAGCAGCTGTCAAGAGGAGCGTGTTAATTAAATGTCGGCAAAGATGGAGGCCGGAGGCCCCAGCTCTAATTGGACAGTTTGCTTCACCGGATTGAAAAACATTGTGACAAAGGAGGAGGTGCGAGGCTCTCGGCAGGGGTGCGGCATGCCGGGGAGAGGAGCGGTGGCTTTGATTCCAGCTGATCTGGGCCCAGCCCCTCCCCTGCCCCACGGTTTGGGAGGGGTACAGCCCCCCACTGTTAGGTCTAACCAGAGGGCCAGGCTCTGAGGGTGCCACCCTCCCCCTGATCACATGACCTGGAAGGCAGTGAGGACCAGGGACTGGAGTCTCTAAGGCTCAGGCTGCCCGGGAGCCAGGGGCCCAGCCTCCCCCTGGGAGAGATCTGGGTCTCAGGCCTCAACTCTGGAGACCGGGGGGCCTCATCCCAGAAAACTCCATTGCACAGGTCCTCAGGGCGCCCCAAAGAGCTGCTCTGCACCCAGACCCTGTCTCCCATCTGTGTCTGATGGCTGTGCTCCAGGTCCCCTCCTGTCCCAGGATGCATGCGCTGAGTAGTGACTGTGCTGAGTGCTGCTCTCTGCCTGTGTCATTTAACCTCCTTGCAACCCTGAGAGGAAGGCTGTAGCATTCCAGTTCTTACAGGTGGGGAAACTGAGGCCCAGAGACGATAACACCCTGTGCAAGGGCATGGGTGTTTTTTTTTTTTTTATTCATATGTGCATACAAGGCTTGGTTCATTTCTCCCCCCTGCCCCCACCCCCTGGGTGTTTTTAAAGGTGACACCTAGGTGAGACTTGAACCCAGTTCCCTCTGATTACAACGTCTGCACCAGGACTCCGTGACTGAGTCTGGAGGCAGTCTCTGAGTCTGGGCCCCGGCCTGGTGTCCCAGAAGTCTTTGGGATGGCTGTGGAAAGAGCAGGGTTCCTTGGTGAAGAATAGCCTTCCCACGCCCACAGGTGGGGATACCCTTCAGTCTGGAAGGGCCTCCACTCATGTTCCCTGAGGGGGGGGTGCTCAGCTCCAAGGGCAGAGCCCCCCTCTTCACTCTCTTTATCTTGGCCTCAGTCTTGCCTCCCCACTTCCACCCCACCCCCATTCTGAGCGCTGCCCAGGAGAAACCGATTTGGGGTGGGAGGCCAGGCTGGGGCCGATGAGAGCCAGGAACAAGTATGGAGAAAGGGGCCATTGTGGCTGGGCTGTGAGGATTAACTGCTCCAAACTGGATGTGAAGGGCTGTGGCCATTGACTGTGGCCCCTGTGAGTTGAGTTCCCAAGGTGGGGAGGCGAGCAGCCTGTGCCCCCAGTGTCCAGGCTGCCTGCTAGGCCTAATCCCCTGGGAGCTGTGGCCCATGAGACCCAGAAACACCAGCTGCTATGGAGTCTGCCCTGGATGGGGTTGGGCGGCCTGGTCCTGGGTGCAGAGGAGCAGGAGGGATGGGCAATGGGCAGGTGTGCCCACGGGAGTGTGCCTGTGCCTGGGCATGGTGTCTGTGCGGGGAACACTCCCAAGATGAGCAACTGTGGGTGTGTTAGAATCTTGTAGGTTTTTGTGTGTGTGTCTGAGGTTTGGGGCACTGGGAACAAGGCCTGAGGGCAGGAACCAAGCTGCCTCCGAGGCCCCTGACAGAGGCAGTGAGGACTGATGAGGAAGTAGCAGACTCTCCCAGTAGGCCCAAGTGGGTGCTAAGTGTGCGTGTGTGTGCGTGTGCGTGTGCGTGTGTGTGTGCGCGCACACGCGCGCACTCGAGAGCTGGTGGAGGCCGCTGCTTGAGAGAAGCCCTTCAGAGGCGGCTGGAGGGGTTTTGCAAATTGTAATCAGATTAAGGGACCAATCACTTAGGGCTCTTGAAAAGGCCACAAGGTTTCTAAATCAGCCCTGAGCTCCAGGGCCCACAAAGCAGGAGGAGCTCCGCAGGAGCGGCCCGCTGGGGGTGGGGAGGCGAGGGTTGGGGGGCGTCTTTCTTCCCTCTCTGTCTTTGGTAATTATGTCAATTTGCTAGCCAAATTGTTTGCTCGAGTGCACAGGGGGCTTGTGCCCCATTCATGTGGTAATGTAGGAACCAGCAGGGGTCCTGGCTGGGAAAATAGGAGAGACTGACTGGGACCCTTCTCCAGGGAGCAGACGGCTGCGGGTGCAGAGGCATGGGATGCCCAGGCCTCTGGAGTCCTCCCCTCACTCATTGGGGTGCTGTGTGTGTATGGTGGGGTGTTGGGGATGGAACCCAGGGCCTTGTGCATGCTAGGCAAGGGCTCTACCACTGAGATGCAGCCCCAGACCTTGGTGTGGGATTTTCATTCCATGAGTTCCAGAAACTTCCAGCCTAGGTTGTGCTGTGGGACACCCTTTGGGGCAGGCTGAGAGGACGGATGAGATGGAAGATGTGGAGGGAGATGGGGCTGTAGAGAGAGGACTAGACCAAAGAGGCGCCCCCCACACCCCCGGCCAGGACCTCTCAGTGAAAGTGGGCAACTCTGCCTGGTCCCTTGTGGGTCAGGTGGAAGCTCCAGCAGTTAGGGAGTGACATGGGACCTGGGAGGTGCCAGTGAGATGGAGTCCTGAAGGGGCAAGTCACCCCATGCAGATTCAGGGACACTAGAGACCTGGAGAAAAGTCTTGCCAGTTCACAGAACCTTTACGCAGGCCCCTGTCACTTTGCCACCTTTGTGCCCAGGGGCTCATTGAATCTGACAGCAACCCAGGGAGGCAGTCACAGGCTACCTCATTTCATAAACAAGAGTACAGAGGCTCAAAGAACCTAAGTGACTTGCCCAAAGCCACACAGCTTGTAGGTGAGCAGTAGAAATTTGAACACAGCTCGGTCTGATCCCTCCACCCCTTTTACCTCACCCCACCATTCCTCCCTTCAGCCAGCAAACAAGAACTATTGCCTCCAC